CACACTCCTTCACAGCAGCTGGATGCTCAGAAAAAGGAGTCTCACTCACTCACAAGGCTACTCCCCACAACCATAAGGTGTTTTGATGAAGAAAACACCAAGAAAAGTGGTCACTTGGTTAAGGTTTACCAAGAACAAGGAGGAGATGGCAATGGAGCAGAAGGGAGAGGGCTGATCAGCCGCAAGGTCACGTAGCAAATCTGAGTGTCTAGGGTTTTGTGCCTTAATATCCTATATATAGTCACTTAAGCATTTAACACACAGTATTAACTTTAATTGCTACGCTTAGCATTTAATCCCAAACTTTGGATTATTAACCTACTCAATTTTACAAGAATTATCATATTTTTATTTTATTTTTCGGAGCACCTTTTCGTTACACGCTTTTCATAGCCAGTATCAGTTTCTGGCACCAGTTCTCATTATTTTAATTTGAAACTCGTTTTACAAGTCCTATATATTATTCTAGGAATTATCATGCACTTATTATAATTTTCCGAGATACTTTTTCGGTACGCATTTATATCGACTATCAGAACCGGTATCTGCACTTTTCTTTCGAAAAGCGACTTTCAGCATTCTTAATCACTTATCATACTTATTTAAGCCTCATAACAATTATTAGGGTCAATTATGAAATTATTTCCTAATTCTTATATATAATCAATTAATTTCCTTAATTAACGGTGCAGGTTCTTACATCATAATTGGAAAAGAAAAAGTTAATTTCGCATTTTAATTAAGCGCTGCTTAATACGATGATATGACAACAAATCGGGTATACACGGGGCGTTACATGAGCCATATCAAGTCTAACTTTTTTACACAGGTTTGACCTATTTAAGCCAAAGCCTAGCCTATTCTTAACCTATTTACACTCCGTGTGTGTGTGTGAAATCGAAACGGGAAAAGAAAAAAATTGGATATATTCAAGGGGACAGATCCACTTACCATCAAAAAAATTTATTAGTCTTACAACCAACTTAATCGCCGTTAATTTTCGCTAATCTAAAGGTTATAATTTATTAGAAATTAATAACATTTATTGGGTCACACTTATTAATTAATTATTAATTCTCATTAAGTTATAACCGTTAGATTGACGAAAATTAACGGTGATTAAGTTGGCTGTAAGAGTGATAAATTTTTTTGGTGGTAAGTATATCCCTTTCCTATATTTCAAAGGGAAAAAGACGAGATTTTACAAATAACCATCGATTCAAGTAGTAAGGAGCTTGTTCCCTTCAATCATAGATCTCGAATTAGAGTATTGTAAATGGAAAAAACAATCTTGGAAAAGTAGACTTCGATGATGGGTCTGAGTCGTTCGACAGTGATTGAACCGAATTAGTCAAATAATTGTTGAATATATATATGGGCAGTTTATATTTATAACTTTTTTTGTTTACAACTTCAATTATGTATTCTAGAAAGTACACTTTTAAGTATTTGTACTCCCCGAAATATATAATTGAAATTATAAGAGTTGTAAAAAAAAAATTATAAATATAATTATTTCTATATATATATATGGGATTTGCTTTCATGCTGTTACAGGAGCGATGAATAATTTTCCTGCAGAAACAAAATTATGGTGGGGCTAATTAAAAAAAGGAAAAAGAAAAAATAAAAGAAAAGGGGGATTTTCGATGTATGAGCAGGATATGTTTTGATTGTTATGTTACATGACAATCGGATTTCCCTATATATATATATATATATATATATATATATATATATATATATATATATATATATATATATATATATATAGGGAATTACTTTTCTTATGTTACATAAAAAAAAATTTATCTCCTACTACACTCACATTTTTCAAATGGGTCTTACAAAATTTTTTTTCTCTCACCTCCAATTTTTTTTTCTCTCTTAACTTTTGTTTGAGCATGAGATAATACTTCTCTTATGCAACATAAGAGAAGTATTACCTATATCTATATATGTATATAGGGTGGAGAAAGAGAGAGAGAAAGAAATACCAGATTTCAAGATTCACTCTCGTCTTCAATACAAGAAAAGCTAGTGTTTGGTTAGCCTCCTTTGTTTCCATGATATATGTGTGTGTAGGTGAGTCGCAAACTCAAAGTGCACTTTTTTTTTTCTCGAGCTAGTTTTCGGGTCAATGCCAAGATATATACCAAGAAACTAGAGCCAGATAATAAATGCAAAGAAAACGAATTGCTACTAGTAGTCCTGAGGCTGAAGAAGATATCAGGCAATATCATATGTTGATGACTTGCTACAATTTCTTCAAGCGTATGTGTAGTCCATTTTCCTGAAACTCTTGAAATTTTAAGCATTTCGATATTTATAATTACTCTAATGATTCTGGGTTAGAGATTGCTTCTTAATTTTTTATTTTAATTTCTTTATCAGTAAATTTGAAAAAATATATTATTAGAAATTTGCAAATGATATACCTCTATGCAATGAAACACGTGTCATTAAGTTATTGATCATAGTTAACCAAACGAAACATGTCTACTGAGTTATTTAAAGTGATTGTATTGTAGATAACTAAACGGACCACGGACCTATTATATTTAAAAAAAAAAGTGAAGGCATATTTTGTATATTATAATTTATGAAAGACGCATTGACAAACAACCACTTTAGCAATAGTGTTTGTGCTCGGAATTGGATTAATTTTGAAATAAAAATTATCTGATCTAATTTTTTTGGTTTCATCATTTAATTATCTGTTCGATTTGAATTTTTTTAAAATCTAATTCAATCCAATCTAATTTTATTCTATTTGAATTGTATCGATTTTCGATTTTTCAAAAAGCTTAAAATTTCAATTATACAAATAACTAGATATATTAAAATAAAATCATTCAAAGTTACAAATCACTGAAAAATTCAAGTCTTTAAATTAAAACAAGTCTTAAAACTCATACAGAGTTAAAATAGAATAAGAGACAATAAAAAATTAAAACAAGATAGTTTGTTATAAAAAATATTCGAGATTCCAAGTCTACAAAATAACAAGATTTTACCATAAAATAATAAATACATAATACATTGGATCAGTTCTCATTTCTCACCAACCAACCAGAGAACCTTTCAATTCAATTAAAATATGCCCTTTTTCGGCATTTGGTTTTTTGATTTTCAATTAATTCGATTATTAATTTTTGACTCGGTTACCGTGGTTTGAATTGGTTTGAATCGTCCCCCTGCACTTCAGCAATTTTAAATACTCCAAGTTTGCTACATCAGCATATTTTAAGAATTCTCTATTAATCTGAATATCTTAGAGTACGATTTTTTTTACTTTTAGTTAATATATCTATATTAATTATTACAAAAGTGTCACATTATTTCCGTTATGTTTTCTAATTTTAAGAATCTACAAATGAGATGGTGAGCATAATAAAATATTATTTGTATTATTTCCTTTTCAAATTCTTAAAAATAAAAAACAAAGTGAATTATTTTCAATTATTAGTAAAAATATGTTAAAAAAAAAACAAACAAGACATACATTTAGGCTTTAATATCTATTAATTACTATATATGTCATTTTATTGTTGATCAATATATTCAGCATCAATAGCTTATATAAGTTTTACTCTTGCACAAGTTATCTCACTCTCTTCTTTAACTATTTCATATCTTTTTCGATTGCTCACAAGTTTAAAAGCTTAAAAATGGAGAAAAATAATTGTTGTATAAAGAAAAAAATTAAGAAGAAGAGGAAGATAAGCAACCAATTCTGATTTCTGAAGATGCTTAATTAGTTGCGTGTTTCTATACCTAATTATGGATAATCTATCAAAGTCATTTTAATTTTGTTTCCCTAGCTAGCTAGTGGTGAAGATTAACGTTAGCAAAGGCTAGCTTCTAAGTAGTAATTGATGTTAAACTACGCTTGTTATTGTGCTCAAAGGAATGGCAAAGGCCAGCTGAGGAATCCCAAAGTTGCCGAGGAAAGGTGCAGAACAAAAGGAAAAACGAAATGATTACTTGAATGAGAGGGGACCCACCTGATAATCTTTCCTTTCCAGGTCTTTCAATTTTTTGACTTGGGATGGGGACCCACCACGGCCACCATCGTCTTTATGGATTGAATGATAAAAAAGAGCACCTCACGTGGAGTCTGAACCAAAGAAGCTGTCCAACCACAATAAAAAGGGAACTCCTCCCTTCCATCACTAAAAACAAAACAAATCAAAAACTAAAAAATCTAAGATTTTTTTCACCTTCAGTTTCCACCTATCTATTCGTTTTCAATACAACACAAAAATTTACAAACTCACCTCTCCATAGTCCATACTATACTAGATGTATAGATTAAAAACCAAAAGGAAAAAAAAAATATATAAATTATACCAAAGTGAATTACACTCTTAATCTTGATTATTGATTTCATTTATATTTAATGATTATAAGTTTTTAGTTATATGAATTATTGAATACAAGTAGATCAATAATTAAGATTAAGTGTAAAATTTCTTATTTTTTACACCAATATAAAAATATCTTTTATATATATAGATCATGATATGTAATTCTATATCAACGTAATTTACACTCTTTATTCTGGTCATTAATTCTATTTATATCTAACTGCTTTGGTTAAAAGATTTTTTATTCTTAGATTATTAACAAAGCAAATTTTTTTTAAAAAAAAAGAATCATATATACTTTATAAAGCTCACCCATATAATTCCCACTCATTATCTTTGTTGCTTAAAGCTCTTCCCTTCTAGCGCGCTCTCTCTCTCTCTTAAATTAACCTCATGAATTCTCAAAGCAAATTCCTTGCCCTTGTACATAGATAGAAAGCATATAACCTAGACACACATACCCTCCTCCAAATATATCCACTGATAGAGAAAGACCCACCACAGAGATTAAACCATAAACTCACTGATCACAGTCTGTCTCATAAAGACAACCATCTCAGACCAAACACGCACAGACACAAATATAAACACATAGAAACCAATCAACACTAATAACCCATCCATGCGATCATGGAGGGAGGTGATGATCTCCACCAACACCAGCATCACCACCAACGGCAAAACTTCCCATTCCAACTCCTAGAGAAAAAAGAAGACCAAGAAGCTGCTTCTTGCTCCACCTCATCACCATACCCATCCCTAGCAATCTCAGCCGAACCCACAACATCCAACAACAACCAATTAGTCCTTGCATCCACCGAACCCTCCAACAAAAAACCGCTGCCAAAGAGAACCTCCACCAAAGACCGCCACACCAAGGTCGACGGCCGCGGCCGCCGCATTCGAATGCCTGCTCTCTGCGCCGCCAGAGTCTTCCAGCTCACCCGCGAACTCGGCCACAAGTCCGACGGCGAAACCATCGAGTGGCTCCTTCAACAGGCCGAACCCGCTGTCTTCGCCGCCACAGGCACCGGCACAATCCCCGCTAACTTCACATCCCTTAACATATCTCTCAGAAGCTCCGGCTCCACCATGTCCGTCCCATCTCAGCTACGATCCTCTTACTTCAACCCAAATTTCTCCCTCCAACAACGCAGAACCTTGTTCCCTGGAATCACCTTCTCCTCTGAGAACACCACCAACACTTCAACCACTCTTCTCAATTTTCAACAATCCAATAATAACCTAATAACCACCGGCAATATCTCGGAGAACACAGAAGAAGAAGAAGAAGCTCTGGGAAGAAAACAGCGACCCTCCGAGCAAGACTTGTCGTCGACACAGAATCAATTTGGGAGCTATTTGTTGCAGTCGAGTAGTTCAGGGAATATTCCGGCGAGTAATACTCAGATTCCACCGAATATATGGATGCTAGCGAATTCGAGTAACCAAGGTACTGTGAGTGGTGACCCTACTGTGTGGACATTCCCAGGGGTGAATAACAGTGCTTTGTATAGAGGAACCATGTCAAGTGGGTTGCATTTCATGAACTTTCCAACCCCAATGGCGTTGTTGCCTGGTCAGCAATTAGGGTCTTTTGGTGGTGGCAGTAGCGGTAATATAAATGAAGGACATTTGAGTATGCTTGCGGGCTTTAACCCTTATCGGCCGGTGATCGGCGTTTCAGAGTCTCAGGCAAGTGGGTCACAATCACAGCACGGTGGCGGCGGTGAGGACCAGCATGATAACACTAGTCACACTCACCACTCATAGAGGATCAAGATCTTCTTCTTCCTACATGTGTAGATGTGTTAACACAACGTGACGTGAGGTTTGATTGCCCTGTAAAATTGAGGTTGTTTATTCCAAAAAATATTAACTTTTTTTTTTTGGTGTGATTAATATTTTGGAAGAGGTGGATGCTGGAAGAAGAGGAGAGGGTTTTTTAGGGTTTGAGACTTTGAGAGACAATACTATTATTCTGGTTTTTTTTTTTTTTTTTTTTTATTTTAAAAAAAGTCTCCTTTGATTTATTTCACTACACGATATCTTATCATCATTGTTTGTGCAATTCACTTTTCTTTTCATCTCTCTCTCTTTTTTTTTTTTATTTTTTTTTCCTGAAAGCCTTTTAATTTGTATTTTTATGCTTTTTCTGTTGAAGAGAAAGAAAACGACTCACTTCCATCATGACCTTCGGTAAGTTTCCATCCTAACAGGCATTTGGGTTTTTCTTTCCACATTTTGCATTCTTTTGTTGACTCCGTGTCGCAAAGTTCGTGTAGTAAAAGGGATGAAACAGTTTACCAAAGAAAAAAAGAAGAAGAAGGATGAAACAGTGTTATATATATATATATATATATATATATATAGAGTATCCTTTAACACCAGTGTCAAATTTGAAATTTGACATCTTATCTGAAAGACATTAGATAAAAAAAGATCAATGATGTCACATGCTTATAAATCAGAGTTCGTTAATATTTTTTAATCTAATGACTTTAAGATAAGGTGTCAAATTTTAAATTTAACACCTCATCTGAGAGCCGTTAGATAAAAAAAATCAATGGTGTCACATGGTTACAAATCAGAATAGTTGATATTTTTTGATCTAATGCCTTTCAGATGAAGTGTTAAATTTTAAATTTGATACTGGTGTCAAAGAATCTATCTCATATATATATATATATATATATATATATATATATATATATATATATATATATATGTTGCGATACTAATGAAAATGAATGGTGTGTTAATTCTTCCCTGCTTTTCGACCATTTTGATTCTAAATCTTCGCCATGAATCTCGAGGTTAATTTACTGAATCGATGATTAAGATTTTTCATAGAGAAAGAGATGGCGGTAATAGAATGGTGGGGTCAATAACTTATCGGTTCCAGGTGTTGCCTCCGGTGGTGGGATCCAGATGCTGGTTATTGCCCAAACCAATGCACAGTGTCACTGACAAATAGGTGGATCATTCCTCAATTTTTTTTTCTCTTTTTTATTATTATTTATTTATTTTACCTTTTCAGAAGTTGCTTTCATAGAGTGAATTTTTGGTAGAAGGGGAGTAGGTATTTTCTTAAAATATGTAAATAAAAAATATAGAAAGAAATAATTATAAAAATAAAAGTAGTATGAATATATTATTTTTTTCCATATTTAATAAAAAATATATTGAATGATTGGTACATCTGATATACAAAAAAATATTTTCGCTCCCATTAGAGTCTTAATGACCCTAGTGGGATATGGCCCACCATTCCATCAATCAGGACCGTTCGTTTAGCGGGACAATTGGCCTCATTGAAAGATTGGGTCTATGGACTATGCTCAGCAAATGAAAAATGGGGATTTTGGATCAAGAGTCGTTGATTTAGTAGCATCAAATTAGACCTTAGATTTGATATATCAAAAGGATAGTGGGTTCTAATAGTTACAACTTACAACTGTTGTTGAAGAGGGAAAAATAATTTAAACCCAAAACCGAATTAATAGGGCACGTTAAGACTTCAGACATCGATTGATATGTAAAGTAAAATGTGGATGTTGGTGTTTCATGTCCAGCCAACCTTTTATTTACCATTTCACTTCAAACCCGTTTTTAACGCTATTGCACTGGATACGCAATAGTGTGTTTGTGTGTTTCTTATATATTAATTAGGTTAATTAATTATTATTATGTTTTAGAATCTAATAATATCCCTCATCACTAAAATAATAGGCATCATCAATGGTTGATGCAATTGAAAATAAATAGGGAATGGGGGAAAGCAGGTTCAGGATATTCCCTCCACTATAGTTTTTGTTCTGCACGATATGATTCAAAGTCTAACTTTATTTATGGAGATAATGTCAATTACACGAGTGTAAAGTGACCACAAATATGATGTATATGCTTTGTTTAAATCATAGTAAAAGCCCATATCTGATTAATATATTGTGTTACTTGATGCGAATGGTCGATGGAATATGGTTACCTTAATTGGCGAGAATGCTTGTTTAACAAAATATTGCTTTTATAACAGTAAGGTGATAATGACACTGCTTTAAGATGGCTCCCGCCTGGCTCTAGCTAGAGCTGTAAAAGGAGAATCAAATTAGCTAGCGTTTTAATCAAAGGGGATTGTTTCAACTTTCAAGTGATACATGTTGGGTTTAATATGCCCTTTTCACTTAAGTCCAATAGCTTTAGTGAGAGTGAGCCCAAAGTCCAATTTTAACCTATGAAGCTTAGGGTTAGTTTTGGATTGGACAATTAGTAAGAAAATTTTTTAAGAGAATTCTTTTATTTTGCGAGTAATTTATGGGTCTACTAAAATGGTCATGTGTTAAACACACGCTGCATACCACAATCATGTATCATGATTGTGTGAAGCACACGCTGCCTATCATGACCGGATTTTAGGACCTTAATGATTTCAAAATTCAGATAAGCTAAGTGATGCATGTTCATCGGCGTTCTTGCTTACATAGTTTTTGAAATCAAACAAAGGATACTCTTAATTAAATAATTCTTGGAAATTGGAAAATATTGCTTATGTTGAATGGAAGGAGATTTAAATTAAGAAATTAATTTAACCTTCAAGCTCATTATAAGGACCATTAATAAAATAATCATGTGAAGTCCCATCGAATAAGCATGATTGGATTTTATTAGATTGGACCTAAATAATTATGGGAGAAGATTTAAATTAAAAAATTAATTTAACCTCCAGGCGCATTGTGGGCCTATCAATAAAATAATCATGTGAGGCCCCAACGGATAAGCATGATTGGATTTTATTGGGCTTTAATAATTTCAAAATTTTAATAAAGTATTGTACGGCCCATTGTCGATAATACTAAGTTATTAAAGATAATTTTGAAATTAAACAATGAATTCGACACGACTTATGAAAATTCTCAAACAAAAATGTTGAATGGGTGAAGGTTTTAAAAATTAATTAATTTTAAAACCTGCGGGCTCCATTTGTGGGCTTATTAGTGAAATGGTTATCGCTGAAGCCCCATCGGATAAGGATAATCAGATTTCACTAGATTAAATCTTAATAATTTCAAAATTTTAGTAAAGTATTGTACGACCCATCGTCAGCAATACTTAGACACTAAGGATAATTTTGAAATTAAACAATGGTTAATTACATTCAACTTTGGTAAAATTTTTAACCCTCCCATCGAGGCTCTGGCAATGGCACTGAAGACCCAAATAACAATTTTGGTTTTTACAAGTGACTTGCCCATCGTAAGCCTTGTAAAGATAAACTGAAAGATTGTTAACAATAAACAAGAGTAGTTATGAGAATCTACTTACACTTCGTTTGTTTATTGCATTATTTGTTTGTAATTGTGTGCTTTATATGTTTTTCAGAAAATATCTTAGAAATGATTTTGAGTCGAAAACCTCTAGATGGTACCAACTATGAATACGTGAAAAGCAAATTTTTGATATTGTTCTAAAACAGGGAAGCTAAAATTTGTCCTGACAACGCGAGGGCCATAGCAACCTGCAGAAGATGCGTCTAAGGAAACTAAGATGCATTTCTCTGATTAGGAAAGGGCAGATATGGTAGTTCTGCTATATTATTGTCAGTCTTTCCAAATACTTGCAGAAGCAAGTGTACATGATTAAGAGTGGAGTAGAAATGCTTTAGACTCTTAATGACATGTTTTCTACGTCTAGCAGCTCTGTTAGACAGAATGCAGTCGGTGCAGGTTTTGCTAAGAGTCTTGTTAAATCCAAAGGGAAACCCAAGGGTGGTAACAAGAACAAAATGACTTGGTTATCAGTTGTCAAACCAGTTGCTATGAAGAAGCCGCAAGGCAAGTTCTTCAAGTGCAAGCTGAAGGGATACTGAAAGAAAAATTGTCCAGAGGTGATGAAAAGAACCAGACATGGGCATATCAAGGCCTGATCAGTGAATGAATTATTGATTTAGGAATCACTGATTATCTTTGTTACTCTTTGTAGTAGTTCAAACATGGCATACCTGTCAGCAATGGACATAGATATTTTAAGCTTGAAAATGGGAACTTGTGTCTGCATTTGCAGTAGGACAAGTTATTTATAAGACTATGGTTTTGGGTGACTGTTTATTTGTTCCAGATTTCATAAGGAATTCAATTTTTGTTAGTTGTTTTGGTTAAAACATGGTTTGACAATGCAATTGATTCCTTAGTTATATTTTGAAGTTCATCTTCGACTTGTTTTGTTCTGGTACATTGTTTAAATAGTCTTTATTACCTATGTCATATACCCTCTTAAATTTGTTATGTTGAATGGAAAGGTGATGAACAAGAACATTCACCAAAGAAATAAAAGTTTCAAATGAAACATAACTTTGGCCTTTGTGATTGAGTCACATTACCTCAAAGTAGGAAACATGTTTTAGTTAAAAGAGGGAACTGAAAGTTCAAGAATCTTTTAATTAAAAGCTACATGTTAGTCTTATTTTGGAAGGTAAAATGGCCAAGCAATCCTACAAGGGGCCAAAAAGATTTGCGCAACTATTCAACGGGAACTGGTACATACTAATGTATGTGGACCAATTAGCGTTCAGACCAGAAGAGGTGATGAGTACTTCATTATATGAATGTTTACTCTGGATTTGGACAGATGAACCAAGTGCGCCATAAGTCTAAAGCTTTTGGAAATTTCCAAGAGGTTTAGTCTGAGGCAGAAAAGCATGTAGGTGTTCAAATCAAAAACACTTTGGTCTGACTAAAGTGTTGGCTACCTGTCTGGTAAGTTCAGGTCTTACCTGA